TATCCCTGAACATGCCTCGAAAGTCTGTAAGTTGGACAAATCATTATATGGTTTGAAACAGGCTCCAAAACAGTGGCATGAGAAGTTTGACACTCTCGTTCTCTCACATGGCTTTAAGGTGAATGAAAGTGACAAGTGTATTTACTGCAAGTCAGAGAATAACACTTGCACTATCATATGTTTGTATGTAGATGACATGTTGATATTTGGTACAAATATTCACGTGGTCAATGAAGCGAAAGCCATGTTAAAAGAGAGCTTTGAGGTGAAAGATCTGGGAGAAGCAAAGTTTATGCTTGGAATCCAGATAACTAGAACAGCAAATGGTTATTCTCTAGATCAATCTAGTTACATAGAGAAGATCTTGAAGAAGTATAACTATTTCGACTGTAAACCTGCGTGTACTCCGTATGATGCTAGTGTAAAGCTATTCAAGAACACTGGAGACAGTGTAAGACAAACAGAATATGCTAGCATCATTGGCAGTCTCCGTTATGCTGCGGATTACACTCGACCAGACATTGCATATGTCGTGGGGTTGCTTGGCAGGTTTAACAGTTGTCCTAGTAGAGAGCATTGGAATGCTATAGAGAGGGTCATGAGATACCTCAAGAGAACAGCAAACCTTGGTATACACTATCAAAGGTTTCCCGCTGTACTAGAAGGGTATAGTGATGCGGATTGGAATACCCTATCAGATGACTCCAAGACAACCAGCGGATATGTTTTTAACATCGCTGGTGGAGCTGTGTCTTGGAAGTCAAAGAAACAAACAATCCTAGCTCAATCAACTATGGATCAGAGATGATAGCACTAGCAACGGCTAGTGAAGAAGCAAGTTGGTTGAGAGGATTGTTGTCAGAGATTCCCCTATGGGAAAGCCCGGTCCCTCCGGTATTGATACATTGTGATAGTACCGCAGCTATCGCTAAAGTTGAGAACCGGTTCTATAACGGAAAGAAACGACAGATTGGTCGTAAGCACAGTACTGTTAGAGAACTCCTAACAATAGGAGCAGTGAGGGTAGATCATATAAGATCCGAACAGAATCTAGCTGATCCTTTGACGAAAGGATTACCTAGAGAGAAAGTCCAGAATACCGCCAAGGGTATGGGACTTATGCCTACCGAACCACGGACTACAAGTGATGGTAACCCGACCCAATAGACTGGAGATCCCAAGAAATGGGTTCAATGGGTAATAACAAGTCATGAGTAGTATGCGAAAAGTTCATGCATAATGAAGCATGAATCCCAAAGCAATGGAGGTTGAGTTAATAACTCTTAATGAGATCTATACCCTATGTGGGGTGGAGTACTTTACTTTGGGGGTACTCCTGATAGACTCACCTATGTGAATGTGGGAGTGGGGCCGCTCTCTATGGAACTTTGAGAGGCACAAAGTTGCTAGAGCGTTCACTAAACCAGGATAACGTGCATGGCCATAAACGCACGGGCTAAGAAGAGAACACAACTCAATGAAAAGATCCGGTGTGCTACACTGTCTGAGATAGGGTTCAAGACTACGAGTCACCCTTATGAAATCGGAAGTGTAACCACTACGCTAAGGTTCAAATCTTCGCGATACCTTAGCTTATGCCCGATCTTATGGAACTGTTAATGCTCAGAGATAGTTTCAAAACTATTCAAGTGGGGGATTGTTGGAAATGTGTATGAATAGCTTTGAAAGCTATAGAGTCTCAAGTGGAAAAACTACCACATTGGTAGTTTTACTTGGTGAAATGAGTATAAAGATAGGAGCCTCTCTCCTAAGGGCATGCCCCTTGGGGTGACCCACTTTTGTGGGAGAGGGAGGACCTAACGGACCACCACACACACGCGCGCGCGCCGTCCGTCCGTCCGTCGGTTGGTTGGTTGGTTGGTTGGATGGCTTGAGACTATATACATATTTTTTGGAGAAATTCCGAACGAAATTAATTATTTAATAATTAATTATTAATCGGTTACTCTGAGGAATATTCCAAGGGATAATCGATTGAAAAGGAATATTCGAAGGATAATCTCCGCAGGATTTATCCTAACCGACGGTTTTAATTAAGGAAGTAATTATCTTCCTTAATTAATCCGACTTATTCCCCAAGCAAGAGGGTATATTCCTAGGGGTTCGGCTCCTATAAATAGCCGCCTCCCCAGCCCCTCTAAACACACCACAACGAGCATAAACACAATAGAGAGAGTGTTCAGAGAGCTCCGGTTTTCGCACAAAACCGCGAGTACACAGAGGAGCTGTTTTATCCTGGAGACGACCGGTTGATAGTCTGTCGTGCGCATCGAGGGCAGTGCCGCGAACGTCTTAAAGAAAGCGACCTAGTCCGCGACTCAGCTCCAGATTCGGTATCCTCATCTTGTTGTTGTTCCGTTTCTAACAGTAATAGGGTAGCCCATTTGGTGGCTAGGAAGACCCTTTCTTTGTACCGGACCATGAGTCGTGTCTTTAATTATAAGACTTGGCTGGCTTTCAGCATGTAACTATCTTTTCATTGAAATCAATATAAAATTATCTTTTGTAAAAAAAAAAATCTGGACCTTAAACGTCAAACTAATTCAGTTTGACAACCTTGATGTTTAACCATAATTGTGTAGTGTGGTGGTTGATCGCCTTGTCTAGTGATTATTAGGGTAGGATTTCAATTCTTACTCATAGAAAAAGAGCACATTCTATGACCAACCATTTATTGTTTCGTGCAATCAATTGTTGCAAGGAGTTAGTTACTACTATCGACAGACAATACCCTGGTAAAATTCTTAACAAAATGTCAATGGCTAAGAAAATATAGGAACACGAACAATTATAAGAACAAAAATGGAGAAAGACGACACGAAATAGTAGAGAAGAATTATTATCTACTCATTGTTTACCTATAAAAAATCAATTTGTACCACATCGATTAAGTAACATAAACAGGTGGCCGACCAGTCTCCATGGCCTCCATGGTCAGCGATCTCCTCCCCATTGGTATGAAATATGACTCTAAAAAAAGCTAAGTATGGAAAACAAGGCAGACTTTGTAGCTAGCCAAGAGGGCAGACTTGGTACTAAGACATAAAAATTGGCTAAGTATGGAGCCAAGAGGGTACCAAACCGGCAAGATAGTTTTGGTACCAAGACACAAAATTTAGCTAAGTATGGAGCAAATAGGGTATTAAGCCGGCAAGGCAGACTTTGTATCAAGTTATGAAAATTGACTAATTATGAAGCCAAGATGGTACCAAGCCTGCAAGGCAGGCTTGGTATTGAAATATGAAATTTAGCCAAGTTTGGAAACAAGACAGACTTGGTAGCCAGCCAAGAGGGTACCAAGCTGGCAAGGCAGGCTTGATATTGATATGTAAAAATTGGCTAAGTATGCAACCAAGGGAAGATACCAAGCCGGCAAGGTAGGTTTGGTACCAAGATATGAAATTTGACTAAATTCGGATACCAAGTCGACGAAACAGGCTTGGTGGCCAGGCCATAGGGTACTAACTCGGGTACTAACTAGAGAGCCGTACAAAAACTTAGTATGGTGACCAAGTCGGCGAGACATGAATTTGGTGGCAGAGGATATCAAAGCGATGAGACAGGCTTGGTAGCCAAGAAGTCGACAGGGTACCAAGCTGTCGGCAAGATGACGAGGCTAATTATGGGACCCCAAAGGGAAGACATTATGAGTAGACAATATGATACAATGATGAGCACTCCAAAACTAAGTGTGGAGTCTTGATGGGTAAAGGGGCTAAGTTCTCATCCCATCAACACATGATCAATGAAAGGAGACAAGATGGAGGGTGGTACGAAGATGAGAGGGACATGGAGACTAAGTATGAGGTCTCTAGGCTATCAAGGAATCGTAAGCACAATGATGGAGGCAAGGAAAGGAGGCTCCAACCCCATCTATTTAGGACGAGGCGACAAGATGGAGCTATACTCAACACAAGTCAAGGCTACAATGAGGACCTGAGGTGGTTTGGAGCAAGAGGTCAGCTAGCAGTTACCTAGGCGGTTACCAAGGTCGTTACACCCGGTGGCTATAAATAGGAGAAACGAAGACGGAAAAGAGTTCCACAACCAAACATTTGACACACAATATCAAATTTTATCCTTTCTCTCCAATGTAGCCATAAATGTAGTCTTTAGTTTCTTGAGCTCTCACTGAACCTCCATTGGAGTAGAAGTAATTTATCTTAGTTTTCTCATCCATCAAAAACAAAACATCAAACACTCTCTTTCGAACATTATTTGAAGAGGTGTGAACCGTGTTTTGTCGTTGTTCAAAAAGTAAAATGTGCATTAATTGAAATCAACCACTCGAGTTTCCTCACCGGAAAACACTCATATGTTTTTAGTATAATGGAATGCTTTATTTATAGTCACATTTGCATAACATCAACAATATATTACTTTCATAAATGCCCATTAATGTAGGATAATGAACTATGAAGATAAAAATTCAATTATGAGATGAGAGATTACTAATAACACCTTCACCTAGTTCGTTTGATGAAATAAAAGAAAGATAACACATTAAGATGTGTACACAAAAGTCGGTGCTTAAACCCAATAGATACAAAGTTCATGTGGTCATATTGTTTTTACCACTGACATAGTAATTCATCCGGCTAAGTGGTGAGCCCAAATCCAGTTAAGTATAAGACCTTGAAACGAAAGGAAGCAAAGAAAGAAAGAGAATGTAGGAACATGGTCTTTGTTCTTCCCACCAACCAGTCAGAAGCTAGACGGCCTAAAGGCAAAAATACAAGGAAAAATTCATGGAAAAAGAGGAAGAAAAGAAAAAAGAGAATCTCTCAAGATTCAAGAACAGATCAGATAGGTTGAATGGCAGATCGGCCAATAATTAATCATATTAACTAATTCTTCTCCACCCTGTATCTTTTTTCTTAAGAGGACGTGACTTTCTGTTTGTGGTTCCATCACGGCTCACCCCATCTAAGGATTTGGTAGACACAAAGTCATGAGTTTGATTTGGCCAATAATCTGTCGACGAATGTATACGTATTCTTTCTTTCGTTAAATTGGAATTATGATAATTACTAAATTAAATTAAATTTGCTTTTGATTTTGTAGATTCTTTTAACAATACGAAACTAAAGCAAATCAAACTGAAATTGAATTAGACAAAGATGAGAAACCTAAGTTGTACCAAAAGCGAATCCCACAATCTCGCCATTGTACATGCTACCGCTGAGATGAAGTGCCTCCTTTGCATTCCTGCGAGCTTCCATTCTCAACCATGTCGTCACTCTCTTATTCGATCCAGCTCTAGACTCCCATCTATGGCACTACTCATCCATATGCCAGGGACTGCTTACAAGTATATGGCTACTGACGATCCATTTTTCATGGACCTTTTGGCCCTTCAGACGCTCGATTGACTCTGCTAAAGCACTAGCTCCACTTGCCAAACCTCGTTCTATCACATATAGATCAACCTACTTCGCGAGCATAACCCTACCTTGGTACTCTGCACAAACATGTTATTTACCTTCAGGGGACCAGGTTTGGCTTCACAACAGCAAAGGGAAAACATTTACCTTTCTTAGTTCAGTTTCGAATGGAGTATATGAAGCAGGCAAACACATCGGATTAGAAGCAAGATACGACCAACAGTCCGGTCTTGGAGTTAAAACAAGAAGAAATTTAAGGGGGAAGCAATCAAGTAACTCCGACGTCAGTTCACCGGTTTCCAGCCATTAGAGTGGTTTCCACATCAAATCATATGGATGTTTTATGGCCGCTCTTCTAGTCCACCTTTTCTCCTCCAATAATGAACTAAAAGCACCTTAATCTTCACATTTGATTGCATCTTGGGCATTCTTAAACACTCACCTAAAGCCCATCACCCACAGTAAATCTGAGGGCTTATCGTCGTACTTTGGTACCGAGGAAGAACTGCAATGATAGCAAGGATAATCAGGAGGCGACGCATATCTAATGCGACTGCTTTTGATTAACAAAGGCAGCTTCAAAGAGCAAGTAATAATCTAAAAAACATAAAACAGAGACGGTCTCATGTAAATAAGTAATATCAAGATGCTGGATTTTGGACAATGCAGTTTGACCAAACTCATTCATTGAGGTGCTGGATTTTCTATAAAGAATTTTCACTGAAATCTAGTGGAGTAATGAATTTCTCTGCTAAAATCACAGAAGAATGGAGCAATATAGATTTCAAGATCAATGACTTGATTTATTATAATCCTAATGGATTTAAAATCTAACATATGGTTCATCGGAAAAAAATCCTAATATATGGCCCTATTCTCCAAATCTATCTTTCCAAAAAGTAACATTTGAAATATGAAATATAATCTTTATCCATTTTAAATTTCATCATTCGAAAACATCATACAAAAACCTCCCCTGAACAGTATATAACTCAACTTACACACCTACTGACTCCTAAAATGTCGCATATCTCAGGATACAAAGCTGGACTCTCTAGGACATGGCTAAGTGCAACTTCAATGCCAGCATCAAGATTTAAATTCAGAAACTTCTAGAATGGAAAGATGATTAGTTCAAGCAACTACAGGTCTAGAATTTACCTAAAACCCTGCTGGTGCCTCCTGGTGATTTACCCAAAGTTAAACTTCGACTTTTTGTCAGCAGGTTTTAATACTTGAAATGAGCACATAAGTGTCTCATCCACACTCATCATTGCACCAGCATTATCAAACTCCCCACAGTAATTCGGCGCAGAAAATATGGTTAGAAGTTGTCTGTTGCCAAAGAACTCGTATCCATCCTCCACAACCTGCACCAACCATCAAAGGAAAACTAAAGTCAAACGGTCAGCCAAAGGCCCAAATACTGAAAACTATCCTCCAAATAGCTCTAAGGCCTCCATATAAGATGAAAACGAGATGCCAGACAGAGGACTTTAGATGCAAAGGATCAAAGGAATTGATATCAAGAATCCATTCCTCCATGAGAAAATGAGAGACAGGAGTGTACCAATTAAGGCAATAAATAAAAACAAATGGATGTAAGCAAATAGAAAACTACCAGAAGACCATCGAATACAATCAAATCAGAAGCAGCCACAAATGGACTCCATATAAGAGCAAAAGTAGATATCAGAGGATAGAGGACTTTATATGCAAAGGATCAAAGGAATTTATATCAAGATCAATTCCTCCATGAGAAGATGAGAGACAGAAGTATACCAGTTAAGGCAATAAAGAAAAGCAAATGGATAATAAGACCATCCTATACAATCAAGAATCAGAAGCAGCCACAACAACGATTGAAGAACACATCTTAAAGGAAAAGCTCCTGATTGTGTTGTGAACCGTCTTAAAGGGTTAATGAGGAATACATGATAGCAATATGAAATATTACAAACAAAAAAATTATGGGTGTAACCTGGTGAGCACGACAGATCAGATCCAAATCATGCTTCTGAAGGAATTCTGCCACCTTATCAGGACCAAAAGTAAACGAAACCCCCCGGTCATTCATTCCCCAGCCTTTAACGTCTTTGCTAGGATCAGACCACAGCAGATCACAGAGCAAACCTGTGTCTGGTACATCAGTTGGGCGAGCCAAGTTTCTGATCTGATCCAAATTATGCAAATCTGGGGAAAGACCACCATGCATGCAGAGAATTTTCTCATCAACTAGAGCAGCCACTGGGAGACAATTAAAGCAATCCGTGAATGTCTTCCACAGTCTGACATTAAACCTCCTTTTACACTCGTCGAAGAAACCATATATACGGTTAATAGAAGCAGACTCATGGTTTCCCCTCAAGAGAAAGAAGTTCTCTGGGTACTTTATTTTGTATGCAAGTAGAAGACATATTGTCTCAAGACTTTGCTTGCCTCGATCAACATAATCTCCCAAAAATAAGTAGTTAGCATTTGGAGGTAATCCGCCATATTCAAATAGCCTAAGAAGATCAGAATATTGACCATGGATATCACCTGCAGATCACCAATAATGCCCATCAGCCATGTATGTTGAATAGACTTTCAGGAAAGCTGTGTGATTCCGTAAGTGATAGAATAATAAAGGAAGAAACCAGCTCAGACACGTAATATATAAAGCCCCCAGCCTCCCACTCTCATTTTCCGCCTTCTTCTCCAGGATGACATAGGGTCGAGTATGGAAATTCAGGTTAGATAAAAGTCAACAGGCCTTCATAAAAGGAGAATTAAAATCATTGAAAGGAGCCTTTGAAGATTCTCCAGAAAAATCTAATAGCCCACAGTGAGCTTCATGCAAGTTATTATGCAATGACAAGAATCATCAGCAAGGAAGGATGAAGCACTGAATTAAATGAAAGATTCACTCTTCTCGGATATTATACCACAAGCCCCCAGTGTTCAAATCCTAATATTTCAATTTAAGAGTCAAGCCTTACGGGGGAGAACTAATTAGTTATTATAGGCACACAAAAAGAGCAGGGAGCCACCCCTAGCATCTAATCCATGTTTCAGGGAACCTACAGCTAAACCAACAAATGTTATAAGGTGCCGTAAAAGAAAAGCTTCACATGTCGACTTAAAGGTTGAGATGAACCACATGTAATGAGGACAACGATAGATGAAAAACCAACAAACAACGCAAGTTCATTCAATTGCATATGAGAACATCAGGTAGCAGTAAATGTACCACAAATCTTGATGGGTGCTTCAAGCTCTAACAAATTGGGTTGTTGCAAGAAGATCTCTCGAGATGCCCCACAGAGTTGCCTTATTTCGGCCTCAGATAATTGGACCTGCTTCCCAGGTCTACTACGAACCTCCAAAAGTCGCCGAATAATATCATCCAAAACAGCCGGTTCCATTTCCTAACCATGCAAGTACAACACTTTCACTTTATTTTTTTCTTGAAACAAAGAACAGTTCATCATAAGACAAATTTGAACCACCTTCAGAATCCAATAAAGGATGCAAATTTGCCATGTAAGAATTCTAATGCTACGATTGATAGGTACCACAAATATCAACATCCTCACTACATGCAAGCTCTTCACAAGTGTTTCTGGGTACCAAGACCAGCGAACCAAATCAATACTACTGAGTACTGACATACTGCCAATGAACAAAGGAGCTGAAAAAAGGCCCAAAACCCCACCTTTAGCTCCAGACGATGTTAACAAATTCAGGAGCTGCTCTTCAACGGGAAGACTGGAGGCTAAGGAGAGAGCTGGAAAATTGAAAGGTGGAGGAGTTAAACCACAGAAATTGAGGAACGTCCTAAGATACACAGAGCAAGAAATGCTCGGATAGAACAACGCCCGATGAAATTACAAAAAAAAAAAAAAAAACCACTGAGCAAGGTGACAGGAAATAAAAGCAGAGTAGTAAAAATAACCGCAGGTAACGAGAGTGGAGGAGTAGTGACCTCAGGACCACGATAACGGCGGTGGGATGGAGTTAGGAGAGGGAGTTTCCTTTGAGTGGAGCAGAGGAAATGCGCCGCGCAGGCAGCTGCGGCACCACAACTGGCTAGTCAACGACTTTGGATACAGATAGAAAGCGAGGCACTCTGCTGAGAGAGAGAGACGAGCTTAGAGCAAGGAGAGCGGGAGACGGCAGCGGCGTGAACGAGGAAGGTAACGGAGCAACCAAGGAGAAAAAAAGCAGGTTTCAATCTGATCAATCGAAATGGATGAAGCAACGGAATGATCGTAGAATGTCGTCCACCGTTGACTACAAGCGACAATCTAAACCAACTCGAATCCCTACGGGGTAGCGGAGAGCCTGAGCAGCCCACGAAGCTTCCTTCCGGTGAAAGGGAGGGATGAACGCATGAGACCTACCGGGATTCGATTTTGGGTTTAGGGTTTCGTTTTCTTTATTGCCGTTCTATTCAATATTCCCGTCTCCGCCTTTTCAAATTCAACGTCAAACAAATGCCGAATGGGCGAATGGCCAAGATGGTGTAAATGCCAAAATTGGATTTACTAAAACGCTAATTGTTTAGTCACTGAAAAAATTAATATTAATTTTGAGCATTCAAATTAGTAAAATATTCCACGTTTGGTTACTCTGCATTACATTTCGTCAGTCTTCGTTAACACCGTCAGTTATTTGTTGACGTGGCTAACGGAGATGTCAAGTCACTCAAATTTAACCCGAAAAACTTAAAACCCGACCCGCCCGCCACATTAGATACCCAACCCATTGATCTTACCCTACTTTATTTAGTCGCCCAAGCTCTCCAGATCTACTCCCTCTTTCATCTCAGCCCAACGCCGTCGCCCAGACCTGCCCTTCCATTTTCCACCTCTCATATTTCGTCCCTATCCAGCATCGCCACTCCTTCCCACAAGCAGTCACCCTCGGTCCTTACCACCGCTAGGTCCCCGACCTCCAACGTCGGGAAACTTCCAAGCTCGCCTCAATTTGCTCTACTTTGTTCAGAGATCTGCAAGCATTAGAGATGTTTGGTTTCTCAATAATCAAATCCCGATGTTGTTAGAGCAACACAATCAAAACAAAGTCGCTCTCTATCTCTCTATTCCTCGACCACTTTCACAAACAACTGGTCTCTCTCTCTCTCTTCCTTTTACTCCACACCTTCATCTCTTGCTCACCATATCTGTCTCTTCTTTTGTCACTTTCTATTTGCTTAGCGGGGCCCCAAAATCCCCCTCTCCATCCCTTTGCGCATGCTCTCCTTATTCACCCTCACAATCTGCTCCTTCCCAATTTCAAACCCTACACAAAATCGTGTTTGGTTTATTTTGGGCTAACGATGATTAAGCGGAAGGCAGTAAGGATTTGGGAAGTGATTCATCGGAAGAGATATGGATATGGATTTTTGTTCTCATTTTGATTCGTTGCGGGCAGCTCGTCATCAGTTGGAAAGGGAAAGAGGAAGGAATGATCTTCTTCTTGGTGGCGGGTGACAGAGGAGAGGGGTTTCCAGGGGTTATGGGTCATGTTAGGGGTTGGGTGTTTATGAAATGGCGAGTCGGATTTAAACTATTTTGGGTTAAAATTGGCTGACTAGGCGATTCTGTTAGCCACGTCATCAAAAAAACTAACGGAGTTGGACAGAGACGAACAGAGAGTGACCAAACATGCATGTTTTACAAAACTTAGTGATCAAAATTGATATTAATATTTTTCAGTGACTAAACACATCACGTTTTAGTAAACTCAATGACCAAACTTAGCATTTACCCGCTCAAGATGTCAAACCGGTTTATATATATGCATCGGTATATCAAGCGGTAAAGATCCTACGATTGGTTCGTGTTAGTTTAATAAATATGTAGAAATGTGAAACATATTTGAAACTAACAAATAATATCAAACATTCAATTTTTTAATTCATAAAACAAAATATAAATGAAATTTTTAATTAAATTTACTAAAATAATGTTAATTTGTTTAGAGGCCGGAGATCGATCATGTCGATCATACTGATATTATTCCAACTGTTTCATGACCAACACTGGTTATACCAGGTTCAACCGGCTGTCATGACATTAACACAACAAATACCACACTACCAGGCACTAGCTTATGTTAAGCAAGGTTGTCAAACTAGTTTATATTGCTGTGTTGGTTTAGCAAGTGGTGTGATTCGATCAGTTACAATCAATTTATCTCGGTTTAACATAATATGTAAAAATGTGAAAACCATTAAAATCAAATGAATTTCAACATATATAAAGCGGGCAAATTTCAATTTTGGTCACTGGAATGTTTGCCACTAAAATTAATTTATTTCATCTGTAGTTACTCAAATTAGTTCAAGCGTTCAAATTCGGTCACTCTCCGTTAACTTTATCTGACGTGGCAATCAATTCTAAAAGTTGACCGTTAAATATGTGAAGTGGCAATTAAAAAATTAATAAAATTATTTTTTTTAAAATTTCCACCTCATTATCACAATAAAATAAAAAAATAAACAAAACTGTTTACCACTAAAAAATCAATCAATACCACATTGATTATTTTCAAGGAATGGTAGTGATTTATAAGGCCAAATTAAGCACATTAATTAAATTGGCTTAAGTTGGGATTGAATGATGGAATTTTGGGGGGTTAATTGCACGATTGGTCACTGAAATTACAAAAAACGTTCAAGTTTGGTCACTCAAAATATTTAAATCCATTGGTGGTCCTTCAGTTTACTCAAACTGTTCACGTTTGGTCACTCTCCGTCCAACTCCGTTAACTTTGACTGATGTGGCAGTCAACTCTCAAAGTTGACCGTTAACTTAGTGATGTGGCAACTAAAAAATTATTAAAAATTAAAAAATTAATTTTTTATATTTTCCACCTCATTATTACATTCATTAAAAAATAAAAAATAAATAAAAAACCTAATACCCTACCCGACCCCATCCTCCTCCCCTGCCGCGTCTTCCTATGGACAATCGTCGTCCTCCTCCTCTATTAATTCTTTCCCTTCCCTCTCTGGTCAATTTTTTTCATTAAATGCCTCTCCCCCACCTCTATTAATTCTTCTCCCTCTCTCTCTCTTCCCACGCCAGAGAAAAGAAAGAAAAGAAAAAGAAATTCCAACACCTGCCCGCCGCCGTAGAAACCCCACCGCTTTGACGACGAGTTGTAACCTCGACGTCACATTTCACCTCATGCTGTGGCTGAATCTGTCCGGAGAAATTAGGGCCTCCGGATCCCCACACCTCAGCCGGCTCTACGAGAACACCGACGACGGTCTCAGGAACATCGGACTTGTCATGGACTTGCTCCGCCTCGAAGAACCGTCGCCGCCGTGGTGGTGGTGCGCGGGGAATCGCTCCGAGAGGGAGAAGAAGCCGCCTCCGCCTCCAGATCTCCGCCTGAAGAAGGGTGATTTGATCCCCGATCTGTAGTAGTACCTGAACGACGAGAACAATCTATGCTTGGAAGAATTCGACAGGTACGATCCGAATGGGGACGGCCGCTTGCTCCACGCCGATGATCTCCTGCTCGATCTGTCGCCGGCTCCGTCACCA